GCGGAGAGAAAGAAAAAAGTCCTTGTTGCATGTCTAAGACCAGCAGGTGTGAACAGGTCCGGAAAACACTTCGGCACTTTGAGTTCCTAGTACTGGTGGACCAAACCAATTCTGAAATTGACTTTGCTTATCTTAGTCTGGTAAAACGCTATGCAGATATGCGAACCATCCTCATTCCTTTCATATTCCATTGTAACTTCTACTCGAGCAGTCTCTTCCCGCTAACCGCTGCTTTGTAGAACCGACTCCCAAGAGGATGCTTCCCCAATCACTACAATCTTAACCTGTTTAAATATAGGGTTAACAGTTTTCTTCCCTATATATGTCCATAAACTGTGCTTCTTATTCTGTAACCCTCTACCTCGAGTAACTCTTGGGCCTTGTCCGGGGCGAACATCATTGTAAAAAGAATTATACATTCTGAAGAATGCACATCCACTCATTAAAATTTCTTCGACAGCCTAAATTTGCTCGATTGCGTATCAGAAACGTAAACAAAGCAATTACAAAAGAATTAATGGAATTCATTTTTAATCCGTGATTATTTCTTATAATCATCATAATTATAATACTATAAATCCATATACTGTCAATCCATATAATGTTAATCCATATAGTGTCAGTCTATATACTGTCAAGCCATTATGTATTGACTTCATTTGTTTGGAGATTGTTGAAAGTTCCTAAACAGTTTTCTTTAAGGGTTTCATATTTAATCTAAACGAAACCTCATTTAAATATTAACTTTGAGTTCTTATCACAAATCATTATTTGCTAACATGTATTGATATAACCATATCCTTTTCTTTTTAAAAATATTTTCCTTTCCTCTTCATAATCAAGTATTTCATGGAGAAAAACAACTTCATATCTAACCAGAGATATTGATATCACTATATACAACCGTCAGTTATATTCTAATAGTTTATTTTCTCGGACTTCTCGCCAGTGAATCTCCCTTCTGATTTGTTTCTTTCCTGTCACCTTCAATCTTCAAAAATTTAAATGCAACGTCAGTCGCCATCTTCTGACTTCCTTTTCCTTTTTCAATCTTTACCCTATTCCTTTTTCAATCTCCCTCACCCCCAAATCTTTACATTCTCTCTTGCTTTCAATCCCTGTCATCTTCTGTGTTCTAGCAGTATTGTAAAAGAAATGAGGCTGGGACTCGCTACAGTAGTAATGCTCATCTATTTACGAAGCTTAGATTAGTTTAAAGCATAGCAATGAGTATGGAATAATAATTATCGAATTAGCCAAAGATGCAATGTTTAGCTAAGTCTGGCACAAGGCGACGACAAATTACCGTAATTCCCCATACGCATTCAATCAATAATACGCACCACTAAAATTGAGCTGAAAGTGTGGGAAAATGCTTCTATTCATGCATAATACGCACCCCTTGTTTGGTAATCAATCCCTATAAATTGTACATATTCAATTTCATTACGTTCAGCGATTCCTACTGTTATTCAAGTTGTAATTGAAGATATTTATCAAATTTCTAATTCTAAAAGGAAACGGAAATACTTATATTGTACCTACTGCGCAGACTCATTAACCTGTTTTTGTTCGATAAATTGTGCAATCTACCGGATGTGTATGTAGTTTTTCATAAAATGTGGTTTTAAACATAGAATAATAATATTCTAATTTAGTGTTATGATAATTTTATTTTATTTTACATTTGTAAGTATTGTTAGGTACACATGATTGTATTTGACATCCTTATGGGGTCACAATCGCCGAATGTTAGGGTCAACTTATCGTAAGTTTGTGGTGAGTAGTCATTTCACAACTGAAATCGACCTATGAAATGGTAATTTTTTTAAAGATTTTTTTTGTAGATGTGCATAATACGCACCCCGAATTTTACTTATTATTTTGGGAGAAAAAAAAAGCGTATTATACGGAATTAAGATACACCAAAGTACAACTTTAGTATATTTCTCCTTTGAAAATATTATGAATAAAAGAAAAAGAAAGAAAGAAAGAAAGATACTTCTTGACTCGTTCATAAGATTTATTCATCCTTTTAAAATGTATGAAAGGAAAGAAAAAGTGAAGAAAGAAATAAAGAAAGAAAGAAAAGACAGAGAAAGAAAAACAAGTAAAGAAAAGAAGACTCTTATGAGTGTCTCCGTGAGATTTATTCTTCATTTTAAAATTATTTGCAATCTAACAGATCTGTATGAATTTAAAAAAAAAAAAATGGTTTCATACATAGAATAATATTATTCTAATTTAGTTTTATGATAATTCTCATTTTATTTTACATTTGTAAGTATTGTTAGGTACATATGATTGTATTTGATATTCTTATGTGGTCGCAATCACCCAATGTTTGTGTCAAATTGTCATATGTTTCTAGTTAGTAGACATTCCGCAACTGAAATTTTTTTGTAACTGGGCATAATACGCATCCCTAATTTTGCTTATTATTATTATTTAAATGCTTATTATACATGGGGAATTAAGGTAACCGTTCACGAGCATCTAACTGGTTTCACTAGCGAATTTATTCACGAAACGAATTTATTAAATATAGTGGTTGGCTGATCGTTTCCGAGTACAGCCGTCTCCAAGGGTGGCGAGATGATTCCTGTCGCAGACGTCTGTTCAGGCACATTTTTTTGTATCTTCACCACCCGCAGAACTAACATGTGGTCTATATTGTAACAGTCCTTAGTTGCAGTTTCTAGGAATGAGCACATAATTTGGCCAGATCAAGAGTTTAACAAGGTTCAAACCCTCGATCACGGTGGCCTGCGACTTCCTGTTAGCATAATTATCGTGGACTTCCTAACAGTTTCACCAAACGAATTTTACTCGCAAGGCTTGGTTCAATTCGTGGCAATATTTACAGGCGCTTCCCCACCATGACACATGCTGTGATCGTCTCTCGAGGCTGATATTATCAAAAAATAGCTCATTGTCAAATTAACCATGGAGACATTCGGACGTTGTAACCAATCAGTCACATTCCCACCTCGCTGAAAAGAAGGCAATGGTAAATGCTCATGTATTTAATTCTTACCTTAATTTGTTCCACGATAACAAATACCGGTTACCCAATGAGGGTCGAACAAAATATTTAACAATAATGGCTTGCTGACTTAACCCTCCTCTTTGCAACTACTCGGCCTTATATTGACTACTGACCTGAGATGGAACAAATACATTGAGTCAATAGCTTCGTCCACCACAAGGAAAGTTGGCTCCCTGTGCCGCGCCAGGAAATTTTTCTCGCCGGAGTCGATCCTTCATATCTCCAAATCAACCATTCGCCCTTGCATGGAGTATTGCTACCATATATGGTCTGAAGCCCTTCTGTTTGCCTCGGGGTTCTTGATAAGATTCAGAGACGGATATGCAATGTATTTGGCCATGATCTGGCATCTCATCTTCAGTCGCTCTCTCACAGACGCACTGTCGCCTCACTCTGTCTTTTTTACAAATACTTTCATGGTAACTGCTCCGATGAACTGCTTTCCCATACTTCATGAATTTAAGCGTTCAACTAGGCTGGCGTCTCGCTCCCACCTTTTCCTCGTTGAAACTGTTAAATATAGCCGTCTCTAATACTCCAATAGGTTCATGTTTCGCACCTTTCGCCTTTGGAATTCCCTCCCCCTCTTTCTGTTTCCCTGATAGCTATAATCTCCAACTATTCAAATATAATGTCAATCGATGTCTCCAGATGCCCTGATTTATCCCCTATCCTTCTTTTCATCCTTTCTTCTATCACTCCTCTTTGCTCTCGCTCCAACTCTCTGTAACCCCTTGCTTGCTAGTGGCTTCCCGCCTTGTTTCGGGTGAAGCGTTTAAAAAAAAACATAGAGGCATTTATCAAAGTTTCCTTCGTCTGGCACAAGGAAAAAACTGTGGGCTATTTCCCAAAAAGTGATTCAAAGTTTACCCGCAAAGAACCCAACCATTTTCAATATCTCACGGAAATAGCAAAGGCGCAGCGAGAAGCTTCCGACATTTCGTCTTGAAGAAAGGGATTGTAGGGAGGAAAATAATTAATCACCCTTAAGGGCCCGGAAACGCTTTTGAACTCTATGGTGAGTGGAAAGTGAAGCCTGGGAAACTCCTGCTATTATATCGCAGCAGTAATCCATTTTATGCCTGATCTGGTTCTTGTAAAGACAGGAATGAGATATTTGCTGGCACGTTACAAGAAACCGACCATTTTTCCAGCATTTTCAGCGATGGGTCGTATGTACGAATTCCACTTGAGAGGTCTGGGCCGCGTTTAAGTCCTGACAGGCGCTCAAGGCATGGGGGTCTCCCTGAAGTAACATCCGTTCACCGTGACAGGTGAAAGTTCTGTCGTCTCTCAGACAATACGACCCGGAGTTTTTTTTTTTTTTTTGCGGTTTGTACCCACAAAATTCAATCAGTTTATGTTACTTCATATGTAATTATTAGAATGAATAAAAATTTTGACATAATTGTTTAATAAATTTCAAGCCAAGAGACGACCGTTTAGATAGTAAAACTAAGGCGGGGAGGCTGAAAGAATGATTAGAAAGTAGAAAGAAAAGCCGTGAGAAAAAAAAAGTGGCTGGAGGAAAATAAAATAAATGGTTCCGTTACGTTTATTGAATATTAAATCTACCATAAAATCCTTGCGCAGGTGTACGTTGAATCACCAGCAGGTGTTTCCACCTGTCGTTAAAGTCCAAATGCTAACAAGGAAAATAAATAAATAATAATTTCTTAGAAATCAGATCCTTTGGTAACAACGTTTTTTTTTTTGGGGGGGGGTATGTTTTTTGTCTTATTCTCCCTCTTTTGTATCTTTACATTAACATGTCTCGAGCAAATGATCGTTATATTTTTTTAAAGAACATCTTCAACCTTCTTAGTTCATTAATGCTATCATAGTCTCCAAAATCGTTTTATATCGCTCTTCTTCCAACTGTCATGTTGTATAGTTAAGTTCAGCAATCAAAATATTTTTCACTTACAGTTTAAGAAGGGAATTTAGAGGCTGACGACCACAACACTTTGAAACATCCCTTCCCGTACGATCACAGAAGTTAAGCAACGTCGATCCTGTTCAGTACCTAGATGGGTGATTGTTTGGGAATACCAGGTGCTGTAAGTTTGAATGTGCAGGTGGTGTATTGGATAATGGTTCGATATTGTTATTTGGATAACCGAGTTCCAATTTCCGTTGGGTTCGTTATATTCACTTACGCGCAAATAACATTGGAAAAGGAATGAATCCACCTCATCTCTCCCAGCTATGGGTTAATTAGTAAGACGCTTATAAATAAATTATTATTTTTCCCCAAAAATAAATTATTACGAATCTAGAAATATTTTCTGGCTTTAAATAACTTGAAAAGAGTTTATAAACTGTAAAAAATAATCAATCATTTCAATGGAGCATAGAACAATTAGCAGCTGCAACTCCTAGTAAGTGTTACTGATTCTCCATTTTAGAGACGGCATATCCTTGTTCTAGACCAATGGTTCTACAACGTTTTTTCCCAATGCATCCTTTTTAACATATGCCAGAATATCATTCCCCCACTTTCCAAGATTGTCCGACGCAAAGATGCATTCCAAATAATATGTATATATTATTGGAAATCTTCATTTTTTTTTTCTATATGAGTACATATACATTTACATGGATTATTTTCTTTTAATCATGATGATCTCCAAATTGTGTAAATAAAAAACAAGAAAAACCAGAATCTCCTCCTATCGAGGCATTCCCCTCGACTGGTTCAAAAACTCCTCCTTTAGACAACGGTGTTTCTTCGTTAAGCAGATATTACCGGAAACAATTTTTTACTTGTATCTACCACCATTTTTTTTACCGTCTCCTCGCATTCTAAATTTGTGATTTTTTTTATCAAGTTTTACTCCATCATTGATTAGAGTACGCTGTGTTCTCAAACGCCCCTCATCTAAGTACTGGCCAGCTCCGACTCTTAACTGGTACTTTCAGCGCTATTTAACTATGATTAAATATTGAGAAGTTTAAAGAAACCGACTTTTTCCGCTTTTGGTATATTCTCATGAGTGTAATTGGATGAGAGTTAAGACTACTGCATTTGCAGTGCGATGGCGTATTTAACGACGTATAAAAAAAAAGCTTCCGTCATTTGTTGCGTTTCGTGTCGTCACTGGCTTCAGCCTTTCGGCCTTTCAGCCTTTCAGCCCTTCCGCCATTCATCCCTCAATGCCACTTCAGACAATGAATTAACCAAAGACAGTTTTTCTTTTTTGTTAGAGGTAGAGACCTGGTAGCATCAGTAGGAAGAAATTGAGGGGAACGCATGCCCACTCGTTGACTTAGAATTCCGGCCTAGCCTCTCTAAGAAATCTGGGTGTGGAAATCGTGTCGACGCTACAAAATCCTTACTATTTCTTCGCGCTGTTTTGGTCGTACACCCTTGTGCAAATTAATTGAAACAAAAACGAATAATTCCGTTATTATTTACGTTTTTTCGTATTTTTTTAATGAATCAGGACCCAGTGCACATGTTAGTACTTCGTATGTCCATTCCATGAAGTCATTTCTTGCAGATTGACCACAGATTTACGATTGGATTTAAAATCAGGAGAGTTCCCGGGCCAGTCATTGCTCACTGGTAAGGCTTGCCAGTGTGTTCCTGCAGTGTTATAATTTTCGTACGCTTCCTTGAAGTAACGTCCATCGCATACAATGGCCGTAGGACAACTAATCGACAATCGAGACAATAGCGTCTCGGTGTGATAAAAATCTGATGCAATCATGGATGACGAAATATTTTTCATGGTCAATCAAATTTCATCATACACCCCGAAAATAGATTCATATTACAGCATACCACTGCAAATGATCTAATCTGAATAAATAATAGAAATCGATTACACCCTGTCACTCCAGTGGGTCTAAAACTGACCGTATGGTGAATGAAAGGAAACTAAAACTGTTGTTTCAATTAATTCACACAAGTGTGTATGTGCCGTGGCCTCTCCACAAATTCCTGTCTATTGTATCCTTTAATAAACTTTATCATTCTGTTATTTACTCTAAGCTCTATTCCACCATCCATTTACTCAAGGTCATTAAATGTTATGCTTTGTCTTCCTCTGTTACTCTTGCCCTTGTTCCGTGAGCATCAAATTTTCCACACCCTCCTTCATCATCATGTTCCCCAGAAACCTCAATTGTCACTTAGTGATGTTACGTATAAGTTTCCTTTTTGTTACCATTTTCTCTAAAACTTCGTCGTTACACACATGTTCGGTTCAAGGTATCCCCAGCATCCTTCTGTAGAACAATGCCACCTGTTTACTCTCTTTATATCGACCCTTTTTGACTCTCATGCAGGCCAAACATATGTCTACTTTCTTGACTCTCTCTGCTTGTGTGAAACAAACGTATCCATATCTTTTTGACTTTCCTGCACATCGGATCTGAGCCTATCTTGCTATTGTTTATCAACAGAACACGGCATTAAATAAGGAAACTAAAGCAGTTGTTTCAATTAACATGCATAAGGCTGTATAATTAAAACTTAGAAAAAGGCAGCCCATAATTGTCAGAATTCTCCGCCCACGAGGTATTCTAACAAATCGCTTCCCATTCCTGGGCCTGACTTCGCATTCTGTAAGATTGCGGTCATTTTCGCACAAATACACTAAAAATGAGAATATATCTCTTCTCCCTCATTCTCACAGTTAAGAGCTATCAATACGCCATGGCCAGCTATCTAGCTTTCGCTAGCAACCATTGTAGTTTTTATTATATTTTTTTTTGCATGCCTTCAAGAGATTTATTTTTTGGGACATAGAGTGCGTAAGAACAATTAATAATATCAATTATGAACACGGCCACAACGTCTTCACTTTTTGAGAATTAAAATATTTCTATTGCTAATAAAATAAATCTACAAAACAAGCAAAAACATTGGCGAGTTCTTACACAGTATATAAATGTGTGCGTGTGTGTGTGTGTGTGTGTGTGTGTGTGTGTAAATTACGTGTAGTTAAAATTCAAGAACGGACTTGTCAATTCCAAGAAATTAGATAATCAATTATATATATATATATATATATATATATATATATATATATATATATATATATATATATATATATAAATATAAATAATAATAAAAACAAAGGAATATTAATATACAACCCAGTGTGTCTGAAGATTTTAATTTTTAATTATTTTTATTGCTCAACATATATATATATATATATATATTTATATATATATATACATATATATATATATAGAGAGTTTTATTCATATCTATCGATCGCATTTTATTCATATCTATCTATCTATCTATCTATCTATCTATCTATCTATCTATCTAAACTTATTGTTTTAATGCCATGTCCGATAAAATAGATTACACGCAAAATTTAATTTCTTTCTTTTTTCCATTTTCTTTTTTTTTCCAAACATTTTCCTTCTTATTTATCCATTTTCTCATTTTCGTTTCATTTTCTTAAACATTTTTTCTAGTCAGTCTTTCATTCTTTTCTCCATTTGTGTTTCCTTCCTTTTTCTTTTAATTTCTTTCTTTCTTTCTTTCTTTCTTTCTTTCTTTCGTTCTTTCTTTCTTTCTTTCGTTCTTTCTTTCTGTTTTTAATTTTCCTTCTTTCTTTCGTCCATTTTCTTTTTTATTTCTTAATTTTTCCTTCTTTCTTTCCTTCTTTCTTACTTTTTCCTTTTCCTTCTTTCTTTTTTTCTTCTTTTTTCTTCTTTTTACCTTCTTTCTTACTTTCTTTCTTTTATTCCTTCCTTATTTTTCCATTTTTCTTTCTCTTTTTCTTTCTTTCTTTTCAAATTGCGCTACTTCTTTCTACCCTTTTTCAATCGTTGTTTTTTTTTTTTTTGTCATTTTTGTGTTTTTCCCGTTTTCAAATTTTATTTTGTCCCCACCTGCACGTACACATGTGGGGCGCCACGTTACTTGTGACCTTGTGTCAAACCTACCATCTTAGAGGAAAGGCGGTGGTAGGTAAACTTTTATATCATTCTATTTGACGCTATTTCTCTATTTTTCTATCTCTTTCAGTGCTTTGCCTCCATTCCTTTATTTGCTTATTTATTATGAAAGCAGACGTACGCGTCTGGAAAATGTCCTTCTCTTATGGAAAACCATTTGCAGTTATTCTAAAAGTGGGTCCATTATTTATAAACGCCGATTCGTACTTTGAGAAAGACGACTGTACCAAAGGAAAGCAAACCAGACTCTAAGGGTAACGGTTTCCATGCAATTAAGCCATGTCGGCTCGAAAAGAGGAAAAGCAAAATGAGTGTCCGGTTTCCTTGGGAAAACACAGAGAAATAAACAAGAGATCAACTGACAAAAAAGACGACATTTAAAAGACGACCTTTACGAAATTATAAAAACAGATTTACTTTTCAGAAAAAAGAAACATTCGAAATTTCTGCATAACATTTGACTTTGCACCAATTAACAAAAATAAATAAAAACACAACATCGCACACAAGTATCTATCTATCTATCTATCTATCTATCTATCTATCTATCTATCTATCTATCTATGTTCAAAGCTGACTTTAAAAACTCGGACTTTTATATCTATTCGAGTCTGTTTCTACCACTGCCTACCATCTACCAGTTTAGATGAAAATAGACCCTAGTGAATTCAATTCCAAATGGTTGCCTCATATTTTCGGCCTTGTGCCATGTCTCAGCTACGAGACTAGGAAGTCTATAAGTCTGTTCATTATTTATCTATCTATCTGTCTATCTCTCTATAGCTATTTATCAATATATATATATATATATATATATATATATATATATATATATATATATATATATATAAAACAGTGGCTGCTACCGCATTGATCTTCAAGTACGAATTGTAGTCTCCTGGCTACTGGCGTATTTCGTATAGAAAACGTTAAAATTTCCCCGACATCTTAGGGGTAGGATCTCTGACTGATGCCAAATCGGTTGTGTTTCGATCCCGGCTTGAAACAATCGAAACTGAAGAGCTGTGATACAGCTCATGAATCTCTCTTTGTCATATATATATATATATTATGATCGTTATTTATATTTCGTAAACGTGACTGAGTTGCCAGTCCTGCTTTTTTTATTTTCTTAA